CTGACTCATTTGAAAAGACCCTGATGCTGGGAAAGATTGAAGGCAGGAGGAGAAGGGGACAACAGAGGATGAGATGGTTGGATGGCATCACCGACTCAATGGACATGAGTTTGAGTAAAATCTGGAGTTGGTGATGGACAGGGAGGCCCGGCGTGCTAGGTTCATGGGGTTGCAAAGAGTTGAACATGACTGAGTGACTGAACTGAACTGAATCCTTGTGATTAAGTTGATCCAGGGAACATTAATGGTGTCTGTGGCTTAGAACAAGATCGTTCTAATTACAGTATTTGCTGTTTTCTCAATTCACCAAAACAACTGCTCCAATAGTGAAACAACTGCTCCAATAGTGCTTGTCCCTTTCTTGCTTTCTCTTCTTTAGATCTGATTTTATTCAATCAGATCCTATTCTCACTTCTTCTGATTTTAGTTGTGAAGGAATTAGTCGTATTTATCTCTGCAATCTCATTGCTTAGCCCAGCGTCTAGCACCCAGTTGATGCTTTGTCGTCCATTCGTGATAGGAACACACTTCTCTGCAGTTAGCATTCATCAGAGGTTGACTGTCTCCTAAGGGCTAGGCATGATGCTGGGGATGGGTAGTGCATACAGAGGCATGCCATACTTTTATCTGATGGGAAATAAGGGCACATCAGTGTGATTAAAAAAAAATAAAAACCTGTCCTTGTGTAAGCATAGGAACACCTGTGTGGGAACAGCTGGTTTGTTATAAGTCTGAAAGATTTCCAGAGGAAGCACTTTTTAAGATGAAACCTCAGGGAAGCAATAAACAGGGAGAAAAGACTAGGGAACTCGTGGAAAAGGAAAGGCATTCCTAGCCAGATGAACCACTGGTAAAGAGATTCTGGACCTGGGATTTGTACAATTTGGAGTTTGGCTGGAGAGTCTAGTTGGGGGAGGGGTGACATTCAGAGGAGTGCGGGGATGGAAGGGGTTAAGGAAAAATGTTCAATCATGGTTGAAAGATTTCAAAAAAGTAATACATCATATGATGCAATTCACTAAGAATTTCTAAGATGATTCATTTAGAGTACACATTTTAGGCTATTTCATCTTATAAGCGTACTTTATGCAATTAAAAAGATTAAAATGGATTGCAACCTGATAATACTGGAGACCTCATATACACATATGCATATGTATTATACATCCACTTCATTACATTTCTATGGTCTATAACATACTTATCATTAGGGACACTTACCTCATGATAAATGAGCTTCATTAGTAGTGGTATGAGACTTTATTATTCATTCATCTATAAAGATTATAAAGCTTCTATTAATTCATTTCCCAAGAATGAGTATTTTAAATTTTAAGGTGTTTTCTGATGTTAGCTTTTAAGTGAAGAAGGCCAAAACCAATTATTCTTCTTAATTTGACTGGTTTATAAATTTAGGGGAGGCTGGGATAAAAGGATTGCATGAAGATGGACAATTTACACTCAGTTTTAAGTCTTAGACCTTCGGCAAATACACTGTATTCTTTCACTGGCGCATTACAGTCTCAGGCAATCTAACTTCAAAACTGATATAACATTTTCTGGGGATGTGGCTTACAGGGATCAATGAATTAAATATAGTTTTTAATACTCTAAATAATAATTTATTACTTTTTAAAAATTAGAGTTTATTGTTTGTGTGTATGTTAAATTCAAAGAGAAGGAATCCTAAGTAGGCATATGGAATTTTTAAGACATGAAAATCTGTACATTATTTTGTTAATGGATAAAGTTCATCTATAATACTATAATTTGTAAAGCAATCTACTTGTGCCACAGTATACTTTTTCCCCTTTGAACTTTATATAAATTAATGATTCTTTATGTTTCTGCACACAAAAGGATGTCCCAGGAGGAACAGGCAGAAGTGAGGTTCATTTGCATCTCTAGCCTCACTCTTCATCACAAATAATGCTGATCTTAAAAGACTGTACCTGTGTTGTGTACAAATGGAAATTAAAGTGAGCTTAAATTCTTATAATTTTCATTTGTGACCTGACTCTTGGGGTTAGATAACTAATAAAATGTAAACCATTTCTTTGCCCTATGGAGTTGAAAGGGAAAAGGAGAGATTAATCAAAGGACAGATCAAGATGGGAAACTAGGAATAAACAGACTAAGTTTCCTCCCTGGCTCCGTCCCTCCCTTCATAAACAGTTATTAAGCATTTACTATGAATCAAACACTGACAAAATGAGAGAACCGTCGCGTTACCACAATCTGTGATTAGTTTTGTGACCTGAAATCAGATTTCAGTTTTAAAAATTCTTCAACTGCACATAGTGCATGCAGTTTACTAGGCAATCATGACATCGGAATGTAACAGCGGNGCCTAAGACAGCCTCCCGCCAGTCTCTCTCACACTTCCCCGCCTTCGCCCCAAAGGAGCAGCCGCTCCTCCTGGCGCCTCCGCCGCCGCCGCGGCGCCCGCAGAGCTCCTCTCCCGCGCGCCGCTCCCCGATGGAGCCCGGGCGCCGCCGCCGCCGCCGCCCCGAGCCCTGAACCGGGCCGCCCCGGCCGGAGGAACGCGCCGCCCGGCCCGAGGGCGCAGCAGGCGCACCCCACCGGGGCGCAGGGCACGGGTTTCGGGAAGGAGAAAGTGCTGCGCTGCAGGGTCCCTTGGCCGGCGGCGGGGGGACCATGGCTTTGAAGGACACGGGCAGCGGCGGCGGCACCATCCTGCCCATTAGCGAGATGGTCTCCTCGACCAGCTCCCCCGGCGCGTCGGCAGCCGCCGCCCCGGGGCCCTGCGTGCCCTCGCCCTTCCCCGAGGTGGTGGAGCTGAACGTAGGGGGCCAGGTCTATGTGACCAAGCACTCGACGCTGCTCAGCGTCCCGGACAGCACTCTGGCCAGCATGTTCTCGCCTTCCAGCCCCCGGGGCGGCGCCCGACGCCGGGGCGAGCTGCCCAGAGACAGCCGGGCGCGCTTCTTCATCGACCGGGACGGCTTCCTTTTCAGGTACGTGCTGGATTACCTGCGGGACAAGCAGCTCGCGCTGCCGGAGCACTTCCCCGAGAAGGAGCGGCTCCTCCGGGAGGCCGAGTACTTCCAGCTCACCGACCTGGTCAAGCTGCTGTCGCCCAAGGTCACCAAGCAGAACTCGCTCAACGACGAGGGCTGCCAGAGCGACCTGGAGGACAACGTCTCGCAGGGCAGCAGCGACGCGCTGCTGCTGCGCGGGGCGGCGGCCGCCGCCCCCTCGGGCCCCGGGGCGCACGGCGGCGGCGGCGCGCCGGACAGGCGCTCGGGCTTCCTCACGCTCGGCTACCGCGGCTCCTACACCACGGTGCGAGACAACCAGGCGGACGCCAAGTTCCGGCGCGTGGCGCGCATCATGGTGTGCGGGCGCATCGCGCTGGCCAAGGAGGTGTTCGGCGACACGCTCAACGAGAGCCGCGACCCCGACCGGCCGCCCGAGAAGTACACGTCCCGCTTCTACCTCAAGTTCACCTACTTGGAGCAGGCGTTCGATCGCCTGTCCGAGGCCGGCTTCCACATGGTGGCGTGTAACTCCTCGGGCACCGCCGCCTTCGTCAACCAGTACCGCGACGACAAGATCTGGAGCAGCTACACCGAGTACATCTTCTTCCGTAAGTTCGCGGGCTCCGCGTGCTCCCCGCTCCCTCGCCGGCCCCCGCGGCTCCCGGCGGGTCTGCGGTCCCTGCGCGCCCCCCGCCCACCGTGGCCGACTTGATCTTGGGGTTCGCGCCTTGCTGGCTGGCTTTCGGCGCCTGTCTTCCACAGCTCAGGAGCGCGCAGTGCCCACGCAGTCCTGCTCCTCAACTTGACTGATCTTGCCCTCCTGCCCTGCCCAGCCCGTGGAGGCGCTGGGTGTCCTTCTATTACCCGGGGCTGGGAAGAGACCCGAGCGCAAGGCGCCAGGCTGAGCGCATAAGTGCCCCCGTCTCTCTGCCGCCGCTGGTCTCCTGGGAGTCAACGTACGTGGGTCCCGGGCGTGCCCCTCCAGAGACAGGGTTGGCATCAAGGTGTCGCCGCGCCCCGCTGGCCTCCTGGTGGTGAGGTCCGCGCAGGAGCCTCTCATTATGGGTGATTTCAGTAGTGGGCAACAAGAAAAGTGGCGATTAAGTCTGCAAAGCGCCTCAAAAGTCGGGGGAAAAGAGGCTTCCCTTGACCCGTATAAACCTCAGATTTCCCCAGCGCCAGATTTCCCCGATCTTCTGTAATTGTGTGTTTTGGACGGAGTGGCGCGGAGGGAACGGACTTTGGTTGTCTGAGTGCTGCTGTCAGGGTTGGAGGTTAGGAAGGGACACGGTGTGCATGCGTGCACGTGTGTGTGTATGTGTGTGTGTGTGTGTGCGCGCGCGCGTGTGGTTTTATTTCCTTTCTGGGCACCTCCAGTGCGAATGAGGGATTGAATCCACTTTCCCAGGGGGAGTAAATGCAGTGAACTTAGAGAACGAGAGAGAGGATTTGGAGAGCATCTGGCATGATGCTTTTTGTAGTGCACTTGGCCTGGCGAGGGCGATCTGCGGATCAAGTTCACGAACTCCGCCGAGCATCCCTGGGGCTTGGGGGATGGGCGGCCGGGGCGGAGACAATCCTCAGTGACGCGTATAAAGCGAGGAGCCCTGCAACCCGAGAGCTGTTTGGACAAATGAAAGGGCACCTTCCGTGGCAGCGGGGGCATCATTTGGCAAACTTTTTTTTTTTTCTTTGTCAAAATACAGGAAGACTGAAAACTTTCCTGTAGTGTTAGGGAGAGTAGCACTGATAGCCTACGATGGAAATAAGCCCAGCGTCCATTGCATTTATTTATTTGAGTCATTCACTGTTTGGGACTCAGGCAATTTTTGCACTTTATTTTGACTGGGAAAGTGGAAAGGACCTTTCCTTTCAACTCTATTGGCAGTTGCTCATTGTTTGTATATTCTAGTAACCTTGGAGGTAAGGGTGACAAAATCCCCAAACTTAAGATTTTTTAATAGTGTTGATTGTCCTAAGAAAACCATCTCAACAGAAAAGCAAAGAAAGTGGCCATTGAAGTGCTAGATAAAAAGCTATTTGTCTTAAGGATATAATTGTCTTATATGTCACTTATATGTGTCATTTTAATACAAATGAGTCTATATACAAAACAGAAACAGACTCTCAGACTTAGGAAAAATAGTTACCGTTATCAAAGGGGGAAGGGGAGGAGGCATAAAATTGGAGTGTGGGATTAACAAACTACTATACATTCAATAGATACTCAACAAGAATTTACTGTATAGCGCAGGCAACTGTATTCCATATCTCATAATCAAAATGGTAAATAATGGTAAATGGTAATAATTTGAAAAATATATATATAAATGAATCACTTTGCTGTACACCTAAAATTACCACTATTTTGTAAATCAATTACATTTCAATAAAATCTAATTGTCTTAATTATATGAAAGTCTTATTTGTCACACAATAAAAAGATCAGTAGTCAGAAAAGCCACTCAAAGGAAGGGACCTTTATTGACACTTAACATCTAAGCATTTATGGCATTTCAATAAGGGTTTATTTCCAAGCACTTCAGAAGATGAGAGGAAATGAACTTCTGGCTTTTTTTAGTGACTTTTAGTTACAGAAGATATAAACATAAGTGCTCTGAAGTTAAGGGTCTTGCATTTCAGAACCTTTCACAGTTTTGGTCTTTTTCCCCCAGAAACTTGGGGACTTGAAAAATGTCCATTACTTTGATTATGAAGAAGTAATACAGGTTCTCTTTAAATTATGAAAAAGTGCTCATGAGATAGTATATCGAAATTGGAAACTCAGCCAATTTAATTCAAAAGATGATTTGAGAGATTGTTTGGAATTTAGGATATTTCATTTCTTGCGCTAGAAGTGAAACAAAATAAAATATTTATATTGTGAATAACTACTTGCAGAGTAATCACGCAGCAAATGAGTTCTGAGATTCATTCATAAAAGTCTCAGAAATCTAAGGAAGCAACTTCTAGCATTTTCCTTTGATTATCCTGTTGGGGAAAATACATAATTCCAGATTAAATATGCCTCTTTTGAAGCAGTATTCCTGTAGACCAACCAAATATAGTTGCCATTTTTTTAATTTGTGATATAAAATTTATCTCAAACCCTGTTATACACACATTTATTTTATGCTTTGTATAGCTTGAAGCACATTTCACAAATTATATTGGAAGGGATTCCATTTAATGTTGGCTAATGAAAATGCTCTGTATTTCCATCATGTTTAGTATAAGTAATAATGTTACATATACCCTGGTGGTTCAGCTGGTAAAGAATCCACCTTCAATGTGGGAGACCTGGGTTTGATCCCTGGGTTGGGAAGATCCCCTGGAGGAGGGCATGGCAACCCACTCCAGTATTCTTGCCTGGAGAATCCCCGTAGACAGAGGAGCCTGGTAGGCTACAGTCCATGGGGTCCCACAGAGTCGGACACGCCTGAGTGAGTAAGTATACAACACAGAGTGTAGTTATCTTGTTTAGTAGCCTCTACTTTTAAAAGTCAGCGTTATTCATAAAAACAACAACATTGGATGAACTTCTTTGACCACCGTTTTAGAGGCAGACAGGGTCTTATTATCTTTTATTTTCCCTTTGATATAATTCTTTCAAAAATATTTATTTAATGTATAACACGTATCAGTCATTTTAACAGCTTTTAAAATTCAAGCTTCATGTGAATCTAGGAGTTTGAAACTACTCTGAAAATTATAGAATTGCAGTTTATACACTTGAATATCAATTTCAACTCTTCACTGCCTTTTCCCACCCCACTTTTCCCCTGAGTTTCTGTAGAGATGGAAGGAGAGTGGCAAATGTTTCAGTGATCCCAGACACTGCTATTTGCCAAATGTGTAATCTTGACTAAATTATTTCAGTTTTCTCACCTATGTAAATGAGATCATTATAGTATGAATTTTATAGAATTTGAGAACTAATGTGCAATGCTTAGTCTAGTGCTTGACCTATACTAACAGCTTTAAAAATGTTAGGTGTTACAATTATAGTAAAGATTTTTTTCTTGTCAGTGTTAAATTTAAATTTTGTTATATGGTAAATATGCTGTGCTGAGCTGTGCTATGCTAAGTTGCTTCAGTTGTGTCCAACTCTGTGCAGTTCTATGGACTGTAGCCCACCTGCTTCCTCTGTCTATGGGATTCTCCAGGCAGGAATACTGGAGTGGATTGCCATGCCCTCCTCCAGGGGAGGACCCAGGGATTGAACTAGGGTCTCCAGCATCGCAGGCAGATTCTTTACCGTCTGAGTCACCGGAAGTATAGCTGATTAAATTATAAAGTTAATTACAAAATTGCTTTGCAATTAAGTGATAGCATAATACACTTTCAGAAGTTTGAAACTACCAATTTAATAACCAGATTCTTTCCTGGAACTTGGATGTTTCAGGCCGAGTTCAAATCACCCAGATTTGCCAATCACATTCTAGTTAGTTCTTTTGGATCAACTCCAACAGAACCCTTTTGTGATTCAGGGCCAAGAAGTGTTTTAATACTCTCCATTAGGAGTTGAAACTTTGGCAATATTTTCTGACAGAAACTGAGCTAGATTCATATCTCCTTAAGTGCTTATATCCCTGTCATTGGTTTCTAATGCTCAAGGTTATATACAGGTTATTAAACATTTAATACCAGCTTCATTTGGCTACATGGACACTTTTATCTATTATCAGTCATTACTCATTATTTTATCAAGACTTTTAGACTCTGCGACATATACAGTACTATGAAATATTGTATTATTCTTCTAATACTGAAGATGGATTGTCTTTTTTTAAAGGAAAACAGTGATTTATTGTACTTTTTTTTTTTTCTGTTGTTGTTTTGGAGGGGATGTCTGTTAAGTGTAATTAGGGCTGTTTTTAGCAATATTTGGAATAGAACAAAGATATTTCATGTTAGCATTGTATTCATGCGTGTGTGCCAAGTCACCTCAGTCATGTCCAACTCTTTGTGACCCCATGGACCACAACCCTCCAGGCCCCTCTGCGGGTAGGATTCTCCAGGCGAGAATACCGGAGTGAGTAGCCATACCCTCCTCCAGGGCATCTTTCTGACCCAGGGATCGAATCCGTGTCTCCTACACCTCCTGCATTGGCAGGTAGGTCTTGACCACTGGCGCTGCCTGGGAAGCTTGTTATATTACATAGACAATAGGTGATTTGCTTAGAGTGTGATATGTAGGCTACCCATAATTAAAATGAACATTATATGTATCCTTTGTTTCTCATAATCAATGTGTTTACAGAAGGTAGTATTGATTCATTGCTCTTCTCTTACAGTATTTGAGTTTTGCATTCTTTGCTGGTTGAATGATATGTGCTGTAAAAGTATACATTTCTTTACATTCAACTGATATTCCTTAACTTTGGGATTTCCTTTTTTTTTTTTTTTTAATTGTTGTGATGTGTAAGACTGCCAGATCTCAGAGCCAATGCTATTTCTGATCTGGGCTGTGGGTTCTGTTGTCTTTAATGAATTTTTATATCCACCCTTTTAAATCTGATTTATTTCACTGTGTTGGGTTGAAGAAAGCTAGGTTGAGTTGAAAATATTCAAATAGCTATTTAGTCCTGTATTAGCAAACCTGTTG